TTAATTTTCTCTCTGAAGATAGCAAACTCAATTTTGTATTGCAAAAAAAAATTCACATTTTGTGTTTTAATAGGCTCAGCAAGTACTGTCCAAATGCTGAGGCATTTGTGATGTTTTAGCGAAAGCAATGGGAGGATTGAGTGTCTTTTTACAAGTATGGGATCTCATTTATGAAAGCCGGTCTGGTGTCTGAAAATCTTATAAATTCAAATAATATACTTCCATGACCACAGCTCCATAGCTACAAAGCCGAAGCAGTATATATTGCATGCTACATGGTGATATTATTAGTACTCTTCATTATGAGAACTTCTATATCATTGGCATGCCTTGGATGACATTCTAATTTTAAGCATCAGTCAGGAAGAGAGGAATTGCAATTCTTGAGTCAGAGACTAGTTATTTATCTTTAATAATAGAAAACACTATTAGATTAATGGACAGCTACAGGATATTTTCCTTTGGAAAATTTCTTTCTAGCACTAGCAGTTAGTTTGTCTTTTGCTGTGAAGTTTTACCTCCTTTTATTAAACAAAACCCTAGAAACCGGCTGTAAGTTTTTTTTTTAATGAGTAGATATTTTAGCATAATTTATTTCCACTATAAATGTCTAATCTCAATTTTAATCACAGTGTCCACCCCTCCCACCCCCCACAACCTCACTTGTGTACTGAAAATATGAGAGCTCTCTTTCAGTGTTTTGTCCATCAGTTCTATTGAATAGTCTTTTGGAATGGAAGAGGGTAATTAGGATCACTCTTTTATTAGTTTGGTTTTTGAATTGAACAATCTCAGTCACTCAGCTCCAGCCTGTCTCTAAAAGGACTTCTATTGCTTTCTGGTGAGCTTTTGTTTTTTCATCTTTTGTTTTTTATCTCTTCTGATAATTACTTTCCAGAAATCAACCCACTATTCTGGAGAATAGAGAGTATCATGTTTTCAATGTTACTTACCTCCCATTTCTTATGCGTTTGCACATTTTTATTGTTGAGGTCCTGGGAGTGTGCGAACACTTGTAGAACATGTCACTCAGATACAGAAGTGCTTTGGAAATTTGCATCTTGGAAGTGCTGATAACTGAGATTTTTTTCTTGCATTTTTAGGTGTAAATAAGGAGGAAAATCTTGTACGTGAGATCTCAGGTGACTTGCTTTAATAGTGCTGTCCCTTGCCAGCAGCACAACTTGGACATCCACTGTGTTTGCAGAAGAAAAGATCCCCTACCCAGCCTGGGCTGTGTATATGTAGGAGACAGTAATTCTGAATGAACATGTGAATTATTCCTGCAAAGTTACTGACTTAAACTCTGGTTTCTGTAGGATTTCATGAATTGCCAAACTAACTGGTGAGGTATAGATTGGTTTGCTTTATGGTAGAGGAGGAAGAAACAATGTCTTGCTGTGTTTCCTTTGTTATCTCTTCATAATTTCAGTGGTTTAGAGGAGCATGGGTTATTTAATGTAGGCTGTCCTTCCCTTGTCTGAGAGACCTTAGGGGGTTCATATTTAATCCTGATTTGTATATAAAGATTTTAGAAGGTTCCCCCCTCAGAGTATTAACTTGTCATACTGGAAACTGATGCTCATGTTGAGGCTCCTGATTCTTCTGGGCTAGCTAAAGCATGTTTATGTACTTTACTTGTACTCGGATGGATGGTGAGAAGATTGGAAACCCTGAACTCATCCACCTTTTTCAATGGCTGTCTGCTGGCAAAAGCCTTTGATGTTACCAGGACATTCTTTATGCTGACATTCTCCAAGACTTTTATAATAATTTTTCCTTTTGATGCTTTTTTTCCTTTTTTTTTTTTAATTCTTCCCCCACCCAATACTCGTCCTACAACCATTTTTTTTTTTTTTTTTGACCTTCAGAGTATTGGAATTTTTCTGAGAATTATCTTTTCACCTGACATTGATGATGCTATTGAAAAGCAAAGCCTAAGATCAAAACAGTGCATCTTTTTGAGGTCTTTAGTAGACTTGGCAAAAATGCATATTTTGCTTTCTGTTTGCATCTGTTCTTCAGTTCAAACTTCAGCACTTATTCATAAGTCTGTCCTTGTGCACCATTATCTCTATGCTGGCACAAAACAACTGCACAATGATGCAGGTCAAAGAAAGAAGAGAAACTACATTTCTTGGTCAAAGGGAGACAAATTAGGCAGAGTTGTTACGCCTCTCCTACTTTTTTAATATCCTTCATGTGAGTGAGCTGGCAAATAATAGAGCTGTTGTATAATCTGCCTAGAACTTTTATCACCAGTAAACTGCGACTACTCGATTAAGATGTCTGTGATACATTTAGGTTTTGTTGCTAAAGGCAGTACCTGGTGCATCTTATGCTAGAAAAAAGTGCTTGAATTTCTGCTGATAATGCCATCTCTACCTCTGCTGTAGAGCAACTATGGACTCTGTCTAATAAGTTCATTTCTCTACTTGTCTAGAAATCTGTATTTTTTCTTCTCACACTAAGTTGGGGGAAAGAAATCATGCATCATCTGCCCTAAGAGTCATGCAGAGTTCTGTTTTTAGGGCAGATATAACTTAAAAAATATTCAGAAAGCATTAAAATTCTTTACTATTACGAATTCTAGTACCAGAAACTAACAAATCCCCTGCTACAAGGACAGAGGAGAAAGAAATTCTTTCAGTTTGGTTAAAAACATCTGGTTCTTACCTTCTTTGTGCCCCTCTGTATCCGAGACCGTAAAGGTAAATTGCATGCTTACAGAAAGCAGAGGTATATACAAGACAGGCAGACAGAATGACAAAGTATTTCTCTGTATTCTGACAGAGACAGGTTTGGCTATTTTCAGCAAAATAATTTACTTGTCTAAATCACAGCTTTTGTTAAGATGGTTTTTCTTACTCGTGGCTGTGAACTCTGTAGGAGTCATCTTGGACTTTGTTTCCCAAGGAACAAAAAGCAGCAGCCAAGACTCTAGCCATTCTGAACTGTGGTCTTTCTGGGCACTTTATTTAAGACTGTCATCTTTTTAAATTTCAGAATTTGACTCAATCTACAAGTCATTGCCCTGCCTGAGGTTGTGTAATCTTGCTCCTATATTCCAAGGCAAAATAAACAATTTCTTTCTAGTGTCAATGTTTCTGAGTTTCTAGTGAAACTCAAAATCACTAAAATCATGTTTGCTCCCTGATGTTAGTGCTGTCCGCCAACTCTGTTTTAAGGACATTTTTCTACCTGTTGTTGCACCCTCCATGTTAGTCTAACCATCAGCATCTAAGAAATTGTTGGACTCTGTCAGCTGCTTTCTAAGACTACTAATAGATAATGCTCTCCAAGAGGCAGGTCCAGGCTTCCTCTGTGTGGCTATCAGCTGTGGTTTGCAAACAGAAATTCTAGCAGTGCAGTGATTAGTCACATCCTAGTTTTTAATGACGACTCTAGTCTTTTCCTCATCCTTTCTTTTTGTTAACTATGCATTGTTATGACTTTGGATGACTAGCAGTTGGACCTTTTTCTGTAAAGATGCTGTGCATTTCTACCACCTCATTGTATCATTCAGCCTCTCTTTTTTCCCTTTTCATTAGATCCGTGTCATGAGAAAACCTTATGAAAGATCAGAATATCTTCTCTCAGAAAAAGAGCCAAACAGAAGGTTTCACAAGAATGTAGAGGGAAATTATTTTATTTCTGTCTTTTCTATTCCTCCTGAGACACCCTAAGATCCATCCTAGTTCTCAAAAAACTCAACAAATAATTCAAGTAATTGAAAGTTAGGGTATCTGCTGTCAGGTTTATTGTCTTGTTCTTGTCTGAAATAAATGGCATATGTCTCTGACCTAACTCCAGATGACAGTCAAGCACAAATGTTAAGCAATAGATAATACGTACGGCTACACAATTTTATCAGATAGAATTCTATCAATTGGTTTGGCAGCAGATCTATGATTTTTCACCAGGACTTTCATGATTAGTTGTATATTTTGGATTCCAGGGAATGTAACTGAATGAATATCACAGTTGCCACATGAGGAGACATTTCTTGATTATCTATTACATGTGCAACCTTTTCTGTCTTTTGAATTACTAACGTGATAGAGGAAAAACAAGCTTCAACATGTTCTGGCGAGGAATTCTTTGTATGTCCTTGCATTCTATGCAGTCCAGATCTTTCTCTGTAGAAGAGAACTCTGTTTGTTTGCAGAAATGTAATCTCTCAAATTATTTCAACAACCATAGCCTTTGAAGGAGGCCAGTCATTCCCCTTTAGATCCTCTAATAACTTTACTGGAGGAAAACAGGAGTAAAATCCATCTTACAGTTATGCCTCAAATGTGAAATGGGTCATGCATAGAAACACCTCAAAATACTTAGGAAACCTGCAAGGTGCATACATTCTTGATTATTAGGGATAGTCCTGGGAAAACAGTATTTGTTCTTAACTCCCAAAGAAAGTCTTTGGTAGGAATCCTTCTTCTTTACTCAGTGCTGGTGAGGCCACACCTGGAGTACTGTGTCCAGTTCTGGGCTCCCCAGTACTAGAGAGATAGGGTTGCTACTAGAGAGAGTGCAATGAAGGGCCACGAAGATGATTTAAGGAACTGGACCAGGAGAGGCTGAGAGAGCTGAGACCATTTAGCCTAGAGAAGAGAAAGCTCAGAGGGGATCTTATCAATGTGTATAAATACCTGAAGAGAAAGTGTAAAGAAGATGGATCCAGGCTCTTTTCAGTGGTGCCCAGTGACAGGTCAAGTGACTTTCCAACCAAAAATCAAAATTGGAGCCCCAAGCTGAACAGTTGGGGTTTCTAGAATTGGAAGTTCAGTTTCAAAGCTTCAGGATTTTTGACTACAAACATCCATTCATGATATTCTCCCCACATGCAAATTCAAATAAAAATCATCTCGTATAAGTCTATAGTTAAAGAAGCTATTTTTGAAACTGTTTTTTCTTGAAGAAAATTAGACATTGGGAATAGATTGTGGTTTTTTGATACATAATGGAATGTTTACTGTGAAACCTAATCACTTTAATAGTTCGTTTTCCGCAAAGAGCAGCAGACTTTGGAGCGTGTGCTGGTGCGTCCCTGCTCAAATGTGACAACTGGAGTTCGTTCTCCATTTGCACTTAATGAAGAAACCGTGCTTTTGCTTCAAAGGATGAAAACAATGTAACGCTGAAATTATGTAATGTGTACCATTCTGAGAGGTTTATTACAGTAACCCAAACCACTTGAATAGATTAATTCACCAAGCTAATGTACTTCTTTGTGAATAAGCAGTTTTCCTTTTCTGAATAAAATATTTTGAAGGACCGATTGTTTGTTTTCCCCCAAAAGTTTAGATTTGCAACTTGAAAATAAAGTCTTCTCCTTAGCTTATTCTTAGGCTTATGTGGTGCCACGTTTGTTTTGTTTATACTAAAGATAAATCCTTCTACTCTCACTTTGTCATCTCCAGATGTTTTTTAAGGGCATAATCAGTTTATTTCCCCCATTAAAGAACTCATGACTTAATGGCACCTAAATTATGTCATAATTAAACTAATTAGTCCTCCTATGAGCCTCTAGCTCAAGTATCTTTTGACTATCAGTCAAAATGGCATTTCTTACAGCAGAAGTAATTGCTAGGACAAGGAGTGAGATAATTCTTGTGCCGACCACTTCATTTTATGCTGTGGTTCACAAGGACAAAGTCCCAGTTAAGGTCTGTCCAGCTTTCATGTTAAGTGATCTCAAAATGTGTAAAAGTCTGGAGGGAAGATTTGTGTTCATATTTTCAACAGATCAGACGGAGAGAGGAGAGAGAATGATCTGCTTTTTCCTTGAGGAAAACCAAGTTTTCTGGGTAGTTCTAGAGCTGTTCTGGAATGGGTTGTAACAGGCTAGAAGATGTTCTTTGGGGGATTTATTGTTGAATCTTCATTACAAGTTTTTGTTGTTGTTTTTGTGTTGTTTTTTTTTTTTTTACTGAGAGCTTTGTGCATTGTCTTTTTAAAATCTGTTTTGCTTGGATTTGGTTTGCTAAAATGAAAATATTTTAAGGAATACAGAATTAAATATTTCTTGGATTCAGTTTTGAAATGGGACTAGGATGTGCTTGTTGTTTAATATGCCTGCATACTATTGAAAACTTTATTTTTCCTAATTAAAACTACATGAAGAAATACACCAAAAATATCCAGCCAGAACTGAATATCTAAAACATAGTAGAAGTTGATTAAAGTAGATCGACGCAGCAAGGAGCTACAGGCTTATGAGCTTGCCTTCATGCATCATGCTTTCCATAGCCAGCAGTCATATCACCTTCTGATCTGATTCTGTCAGCGCTTACAGGCAGGGTCAGATCAGGTCAATACTTAAATGAGAAAACATCTTGGTGCTGTAGAAAATGCTTTTCTTGATTTGGTAGTTGACTCTTTTTCTCAGAAATAATGCGACAATGTGAGGCTCTAGGATAACATCAGAGAACAGGAAATATAACCAAAGGCTTAATAATGTTCGATCATTAAAAAAATTAAAGGATGTTCTGCAGCAATTTTGAGGTCTGCCATAATCTTTTAGATTTTGCAAATTACACTCAAAGCAATTATGTTTCTATTTACCTGTGTGTTCGATGTTTTAATTTGTTAGTCATCCTCTTGATATAGGTAGGAAAGTAGATTATGTTCCTGGCTGATTTTTTTAACAGCATTATGCAGTTAACTTATTATTGTGTTTACAATGTTATTATGATAGTGATAGGCAGTAGCTTTGCATGTTTCAATAAAATAATTCTTTTGAAGGTTTTGTCTGAAGTCAGATGCTTGGGGCTTTTTAATGCAAAATTTAAAGTTTCAGTTAAGACATAAAATAAACTTCAGGTTTAAAAGTTAATTATTTAAGAGTTGATCTATTTTTCCCCCTCTAAATATTTTAGATTGAAAAAAAATAGTATGCTAGTTCTGTCTGACATATCAAAAAATGAGTTTAGATTTACTGTAATTATTAACGCAAGCACTGTAGGCTTAAAAAACATACACTGCTTGAAACAAACCCTGAAATAATTATAAAACCTCCCCCCAAATAAAAGTTATTTCTAGTTTTAGATCATTTACAATTTGGGGCTTTTAAAGTTTAAGCTGACGTTGACATAAAGCTAAAAAAACTGGAGAATTTAGCTTTACATTTTATAATATGTCAAGGGTTTTTTTTACTTCAAAATATAGCTTACCCAGTTTTTCAAAATGTTGTTATATCACTTAGAGTTAAGTTTGTAATATAGGACAGCACTTTTGTCTAGCATCAAGGACTTTAAAAGAAAAATAATTTATTACTCATAAAAGTGGCAAAGCTGTCTAATCTGTATTGGTAAGGACCAGTCATGCTCAATTTAAAACTTAGATTTCTTAAGATACACAGAATTATAGTGCTGTTAAAAGTATTATCAAGGAAAGTGGTTTGCTCACAATATGTTTATTTGACTTGGAATAATCTGTTGCTTTTAGTACTTTCAAATGGTAGACAAAGTTACTGAGCACTTGAAATAACTTGAAAAGAAAAATGAAGTTACAGTATTCCTTGAACTTATGTGGCACAGTGTGAAAGTTTCCCTGGCTATCTTAATAATTCAGCTGAATGTTTAACCTAGATGCTATTGAATGTTCTCTTCAAAATACATGTAGTCAAGATTTTCTACGTGGTGAGATTCTGGTGTGAGTGCCTTCTGGTGCAGTATGAATTTCCCCTGGTGCATCAGTTAAGCACCTTACAGAATGTTATACATACATATATGTTACTTGCATGAGGGCACAGTTTGCTCTGATTACTCCAGTGGCTACAAAAGATTTTAATTTCTGTAAGAAATAACCAATATCATTATTTGTATTTCTATTGTAGTTATTACAATAGTAATAGCCTTTCAAAATGCAGTGCTTGATTTGCACAACAAAGGTCAGAATCAGCCAAGATTGCCTTAACTCTTGATTGCAAGAAATACGATTGAATTTTTAAGCCAGGCTTAGGATACCTATCGGTTATATATTGCAAAAGATAGAAACCACAAACAATTCCTGTGTGTGTACCATGTGGTAACAAATCCCTGCAACATTTTTAGTGTTGACCACCTTACTTTCATTTCAAGTTTTTTGTCTTTCTGCTTCAATTTTGGTCGTGAAAATGGCAAAATTGATGTCAGCATTAATAAGAAAGAGGACAAACTTTGATATTCATTAGTAGTTGATATATGAGTTGAGCGAAATCTCTCTTGGAGACAACTTCTTCAGCCTGTGAATATGAAGAAAAACTGTTCTTTGAAGGCCCCATCCTGACATACCTATTACTTTGGTGATGAGTGAGATATTCCACTTCTACGCTGCATTTAAATCAGGAAGTCTTTGTGTGACCATTTCTGTTAGAAAAGCAGTTTTTCTTGTTATTTTACCTAGCTGCTAGAGGATACCTGTATTATTAAATCTCTAGAGAAATATTATATCTCTTCAGAATAATTTTCTTCAGCCTAGTTGAAAAAGACTTTCCTTTAACTGGGAATCCTCATTACTGTTGAGAGGCTTCCTGGTAGACTCCTTTTCTTTTGAATAGGATCTGTAAGATGGTGCCTGATGCTTATCCTTCTGTGAAAGCCCTAGGTACTCAGATATTACTTCAGGAGATACAGTGGACAGTCCTTCCAGCCGTTTTTCAGTTTTCTAATTTCATGTCACCGCATGACCTTCGAAGCTTTTTCAAGGGAGTTTTCTTTATAGTGCCTATTGCTTTGGCCTGCAGACAGGATGGATCAAGACCTATATCTGTATGCCCAGATCGCTCTGGTTCTTTTACTTTAAAAACACGTATTACTTCCTCTGATTTTAGCAAAAAAAATTCCCTTATTTTAACTCCCATCCTAACAGTGATGTCCAATTTCTTATTGCTTAAATATTCATGGGGGTCCTCTTTGACAAATATTTTTGGGGGCTCACTTTTTTGGAGGTATCTTGGTATTATTTGTGGATTTGCATTGTTTTGCATCAGAATGATGTTCCTATGCTGAAAAGCAGTGGAGTCATATGATGAGAGTAGTAACTTCTCTTGACCTGTGAATTGAAATGTCTTTTTTTCTGAGCTGAGGTAAGCCAGTTTGTTCACGCAAATTTTTTTACCTTAGACCATCCAAATAGAAACAGAATTACTAGGTTTTAAGATAGGTATGTGGAAATAAACATATGCTTTACTTTAGTTCCAAGAGATTTCTTTGCATTTGATTCAGCTAACAAACTACTGGGATGGATATCCAGTCTTAGAACCAGGACCCTGTCTTCAGAAAATCCTCACGTACACATCCTTTTAGAACAACCTGTGCCTAATCAGTGGATAGTGGGTAGGATTTGTGGCTGGCACAGGAGGACACCTGAGCAGACCCTGACATTCTGTTCAGATTTGAACTTGCCTCTTCACAGGGATTGCTGTGACTTGGAGTGGATGTTTCTTGGGGATTTGAATTCAAGAGTCAAGAGAAATGTGTCCAAACAGTTAGTTTGGACACATAACTTTGGAGAGGAGAATGTCATTCCAAACATTTTGATCAGCTTTATAGGTACCACAAGTGGTATTCCACTGATGGTTTAGCCAGATCTGCGGCAGATGACACAAAGGGAAATTTTTCATTTGCTTTTATATTGTGTTGGCTATAGATTGTATTAGAATTTAAATTTCCTTTGGCTTCCTAAAAGTTATATTGATTAGATATCTGACATAAAATTATATGTAAATAAAATGTTTGATTCAGGTGAAGAATTCAACTGAACAGAAGAGAAACAAGGTCCTGAGGCAAAGGACCAGACCTAATAAAGTAAATGCATCCAATCTGAAAATCATGTTTATAAAGTGCTCATAGTTGTAGTAAAATCATTGTGTTCTCACCTCTAGCTCACACTTTTCACTCCTCATTATGTACTGTATTTTTTTCTTTACCAGCATTGGAGAATAAAATTCGTAGATATGACATAGTTTTATAACAATATTCTAAAAGACTAGATGGAAAAGAATTGTTTTACAGCTTTTCTTCTTTCTATTTATGTGATGCATTTCTTATGACTAAATTTAGTTGGATAGAGTGTTAAAAATAACAGTAACCCTTCAATTTTCTGAATTATAGGGTGACTCATTTTAATGATAAAGCTCCTGAAAATGTC